TTTGAAAAAAAAAAAAAGATTGGAATTAAAAAAATAATAATAATATGAAGATGACCTAAGACTTTTGCACAGTTGTTTTAAACATTGGATGTGCAGCGCCGCTGCTCTGAACTCCTGATCATTTGTAACTATCATTTATGCTTTGTTCTGGTTTCATGGGATCGGGTCGTGGCGCCGTTCGATTTGAACAAACAGGAAATCGAAGTCCTAAACAAAACTACAGGCAACTCCTGCGTCTTCACAATCATACGTTCACTTATATATATATATTGACATTATGAAATAGGAAACACCAACTTAAACCTGTAAATAAACTGGCTAAATTCATGTCCACCTCGCTGCAGCAAACAGGAAGGGGCGGGACGGACTGTCTGTCTCATACCTTATTTGGAAATGGGGCCATTCCACTCCGGAAGTGAAGGGGGCGTTATTTCCTACACTGTTCTCCTATTATCTCCTGTTTTTATTTTCTTTTGAAATCTGTGATGCATCCTCACCTTTAGGAAGTATTTTCACTCTCAGTATGTTTTTGAACTTCTTATTTACTTCAGCGCCACTAGAGGCAGTAGCAGGCCCAAAAAGATGCAACCAAGGAGCAGATTTAGAAGTACACAGAAAGCTACAGAATTTGTTAAACGCTGTGAGCTGCGCTGAATAATAGAGAAAAGTTCAAATACATGCTGATGTAACCGGATCCTTTCTACGTTGTGCTGGTTATTGAGTGATCAGGCTGTGACACGGTTCGTCTTTAAAATGGGTGATCGATTTATTTTGAAGAGAACAAAATACAGAAAACAACCGTGTTATAGGCTGCCTGCTCCAAGTCCTCTCCCGCAGGACAACTTGACAAAAGGAGAGGGACTACTGCTAAGAAGCGGGAAGTGCAAGATAAACTATAAGGACAGGGCCCGAGGCAGCAGCATTAATATAGATGGATATACATTACTGGACTAGACATGACGTGACTCATCGTGCGCTATTGCTGTCCATTGGTCAAGAATATACCGCAATCACGTGTGACCAGCAGGTGGAGATCTTTTTAAAAGCTACAAGATGCACCTGAACCCAGACTGAACATGTAACCCAGCTGAATTTTATTTGTTTGTTCTGTGTTATTTGCTTTTCTGTATTGTTTTTCACTTTATGGGTAGTGTCCCTTTAAGAGCAAAGTACGACATCACTTTACGGCAGCGTTCCGACTGCAGTTACTAGGGAAACTCCCGGGCTTTAGAGTTTCAGAGCTGCTGCGGAGTAGAGACATGCCAGTCTCTGCCGTCCTTCTGCATAGCGCTTGACTTCTTTATGCCTGATATATGATGTTTTCCTGCTAGTGCATTATTGTGGCCGATATCGGGGAAAGGAACACTGGGAAGGTGCTCCTGTGCCTGCGGAGGAAGAGAGAGAGGCCGCGGAGTTTCTGTGTCTGTGGACATCGGCTACCGTCATCATTCTGGGTCGCCATCCCAGCCAGGACAACCTCTTTCATCGTTTTGTACGAATCAGACACACACACACAAATATGGAGCTCTTTATGAACTTTTTTTTTTGCTGGCCAGCTTCTTTTAATTTAATTTTATTCTTTTTTTTACCAAGGACCCTGAAAGGATTCTTTATAATCTAAGTTTTTATTTTTCTTTCTCTTTGTGGGTTTTCCTAGGAAACTGTATGACAGTGTTGAGACGAAGTTGGATGTGTTTCAGTCCAGTAACTTGTAATAAACATAACTGGTTGATAGTAAACTGCTATCTGAACCCGAGTAAATTCTGTTCTTTGGTTACAAACAGTGCACAACATTTTATTAAACAATTTCCTTAAAACATTTCTCTTTTAAAAAAACGAGGCTTCAGGCCTACTACTTGGTCCCTGGAACAAAGGGGAACACATAAGGTAAGGACAGACAAGTTCAATTATTCCAAAAGAAATAAACAAAACATGCAATGCAAAAGAAATTAGTAAATCAAACAAACAAAAAAAGCAAATTAGTAACTTCAATAACACAACAAATAAACTGTAAAAGGAAACACTTCAAACAATGGAACAAATCATTGTCGTCATCCAGATCCAAATGCCCTTCAATTGACCTTACCAAGCTCCGCCCAGAAACGCCCCCTAAAATCCCACGTGGCTGCATGGCTCACAAACAAGGCCTCGCGGAGCTTAGTTTCTATGTGTAAACATGGCGTCTTTCATTTCGACTGACTCTCTGCAGAGTATTTCTGAGTCGATTAGTGTAGCATTAATGCCGGATTTTCACAAAATATCAGCCACGACAATGGACAGGGGAACCAACAAGTTCATGTCATCTTTTATGGACGACATCAAGGTGTTTGAGCCACGCGATGCCTCCAACATTGTGCGCGTCGCAGCTAAATGCTACCGGTCGATGAGGAAAACAGCAGATCCTCACACCCTCAGGATAAATATACTGTGGACAAGATCACTGATGCCTGTTGTTCTTGCAAGGCTGGGTAAGTTGGGCATTTATGGTTTTGAGGGTTACTTTTGGAATCAGTGATTTCTGTTGTTGGCAAATGTTTGAGTGTGTCTAGGCCTGACACACTGTACTCGGTGCTAGCGTGGCTAACACTATTACAATTTAGTAAAAAGCCTTTTCAGGTAAAATAAAATCTTTAATGCATGTCAGATACAGCATACATTGCATATTGATCTGTTCAGCTAACGTAAGACTGTGTAACAGACAGGCTTCAGGGTGTAGAAGTTGTATCGGTACTGCCATTATGCTGTACTTAGCTAAAAGGTTTTCATAATGGATGTTTTTATTACTGAAGCTGTAAATCAGAATCTCAAATGGATAAACAATCACTCAAAATATCCCCATTCACTAAACACAAAGAAAGCAAAGTAATAATACTCACACCAGCACACACTCCTTTGTTCTTATTGATGCGGTCGTGCACAAACTTTGATCCAAGCAAAACTTTCCGTTTCAGATTTTGGAAATCTGTGAATTTTAGTTCCACAAATACGATCAGGATACCTGACATCGCCTGTACAGATTCCCCACCGACAGTGGAGAACCGTTCTTTATGGAGTCCTGACGCAAAAACGTCCTGCCGGTGTTCTGTCAGATAGCATACATGCAGTCAGTGCCCACGCATGCGCATTAAGAAGTCCGACCGTCAGTGGAGTTGTCAGTTCAGCATACGCAACAAGTTATGACGAAAATAAGTCATTAAATTGCTTATAATATCATAATATGGTCCATGGGGCCAGAGGAGCAAAGCCCCGCCCACACAGCCTGCCCAACCAGCAACAGGTTTAGTTGAGCGGCTCAAACAAACAATGACAAGACAGCAGAGCGTCCAAAGGGCTGCAGCTCCAAAACACAATCAGGTGCCTGAAACAGAAAACCCATTAACGGTGGATCCAGATAAAAGAAATCAAAAGCTAAATCACAGGTAGCTTACCCAGGGGTGGAAACACAGCCTAACCCGGGAGGAAGCGGGTCAGCAGGTGAGGACCAGATGGAAGCCACAACAACCCCCAGCTGTAGCCGGTAAGGCCATCAGAGCAACACTGCAGACACGGACGATAGGTGTAGCACCCAAAAACCAACCACGATCCCAGCCACGGGTAGCAAAACTGGCACTTACGACCTCAGACGAGCCGATCAAACACACAAGCCAACATGTAGCCGCCGATTGTAGCAACAATGGGAGAAACAAAGACACACACACACCTTGCAGCGGCCTGTCCAACTAAAAGGCACCTGCCTCGCCCACCAATCAACGGTGAGCTTCTAGCTGCACCCGGTGTACAGAGGGTGGATCACCATCCATCTGAAAAATGGACGAAATGTTTAGCGGTTAATTCAAACCTGACAGCCATAGATAACAAGGTTCAATGGTTTCACATTTAACAGGTGAGGAAAAAGTTTTAATCCAAATAAAATATTGAAAGACTGAGCAGTGGGTCAGTTATGCTAGCCTAACTGTTGTTAGCCCGCTTTTGACTTTAATAACCTAACATGTGCTGCGCAGTTCGGTGTGTTTTGGTTCCGTTAGCATTAAACAGGTCAACCCGCGCTGTGTTCAGGCGAAGATATATTAATATATTAATGACAATATAGACATAACGCCTGTAGCAGACTGGATGTTCTGTTTTGGTGTTTTTGCTACTTTTTTGTGTGGGAAATGTTAGTTGTTTGGGATTGTTCCCCTCATCGGATTGAACGTCTCTCTGCTTTATCTGCTCGTTGAGCTGTTGTCTATGGGTTGCCATGGCAACGGGTCCGCGTGTTCGTGATGCCGACACGGAGCAGAAAAAGAGCAGAACTGGTCTCCATTTCTGTTCTTCACCTGTTTATCAGCTTTATTGCGATTCATAAAAGTTAAACAAGCGATAAAAACTGAACTAATCCCCTCTGTTCGTAAAACGTGATGATATTTATAAGTCCTTAAACTACGGCTCCTACAGCATATTTAAAATAAAACGACTGACCAATATAAGAGAAATTGGCCTTTTCTTGCATCTTGACAGAAACTAAACTGTTTATAGATTTGTATCACGGATAATTTATGCATCAAACATCAGTTTTCTCAGTTTTATTTTAAGTCGTATTTAATTAATATGATAATAAATGATGGCGCTACTAATATTTTCGTGACGGATTTCTGCTCGTCCTGCATTGGAACTGAAGGGTTTTCTGGACACAAAGCATCACATAGCGACCAATAGGCGCTGTCTAATCCCGTAATACATATCAATTAGCAGGAGTAGGAAAGACATAAAAATAATTAACTATACTACATTAAGAAATTATATTTAATCCTCAGTGCTGCTACATGAAGCTCATTTTGAAACAATGAGAGTTAAAAACAATATTTTGCCCCCCTCCTGCCACCTCAGATGTTTTTCTAGATCCACCCCGGGACCGATCCGAAAAGAGGAATACATCCCTGTTATCTGGGGATGAGGAATCTCCCCTCCTCCTCTCCTCTTCCTCCTCTTTCTCCTCCGGGCGCGCGGCGCTGCGTCAGAGCGCGCAGGGCGGCGCGTGGCAGCGCGGGGAGATCCCCGCGTTTATAAGCGCAGGAGTTTCTCAGTGCGTCACAGCGAGCCGCGCAGCCAGGATCCCCCGGCCCGGTCCCGCTGCGCCCGGCGTAGAGAGCCAGGAATCGACCGCCTGTTTTCTGCCAGCAGAGTTTTCCTGGTTTTGGACTTTGTTCTGGTTCGGAGCAGAAGTCGTGGTTCTGATCCGGTTCGGAGGACCCGCAGCAGCTGGAGCAGCTGTATGGAGGATCTGAACTTTTACCACAGAGGAGATGAAATCTGCAGAGGAAGGTGAGTTCACCTTTTCCTGTCTGGATTTGGGACTCTTTGGACCCGGTTCGGATTGGTTCTGGAAAACCCAGTTGGATTCCATCTGGAGCTGAACCTGGGGCTGATCCGGTCCCAGTGGGCGTGGTTTGGTTGAAAATGGTCCCGAACCTTTCCTGACGTGTCAGAGTGGCTGATGCTTTGTTTGGACCAGACAGGCATGAGGCTAACGGTTCTGATCTGGGTCGGAACCGGGTGGAGGCGGGTCGGAACCGTCTGGACCCCAAACCGTGTTAGTCCAGCAGTGGAAGCTGGTGGGACATGAAGTTGGCTTCAGTTTTCAGCAGTTTGCGGTTCTATTCGGTCTGGGTTCTGAACCGGACCTCCATGGATCTTACCTCAGATTCATATTTATTGTAACATTTCTATCAGTCATTATAGCCTTGTTTCACCCCTGAGCATGATACTGCCGCCACCATGTTTTCCTGGTTTCCATGGAGATGCTAACGCCTCCCTGCTCTCCCTCCAGATGCCTTCGGCTTCTCGCCCAGCGTCAGCCTCTCCCTCCCTCTGGCCTCCCAGTTTCTCCAGTCCAGCCCCACCATTTCCGTGTCCGTGGCAGAGCCTGAGACCTTTGACCCCCATGACAACCCGCAGTCGGCCGGGTTCTACTCGGCGGTGTGCCCGGACGGCGGCGCGGCCCTGGAGGGCCCCCGCATCGAGATCACGGCCTACGGCCAGTTGCCCGAGGACGAGCCGCAGCAGGGCGGCATCCCGACCGCCCAGCGGGTCGCCTCCATCGTGACGCTGCCGCTACCCGGTGCCGACCTCTACCGCGACCCCAGCTGCCTGAGCCCAGCCAGCAGCGTGTCGTCCCGAAGCGGGCTCTCCGACGCCTCTTTCGAGTCTGGCTTCTCCTACAACTATGACAACTCGCCGCAGAACTCGCCCTGGCAGTCCCCCTCCGTGTCCCCAAAGGGCTCCACCCTGGCCCTGCCAGAGGACGGCGCCGCCACCTCCCCCCGCATCGATGCGACGGACGACGGCTGGACAGCGCCACGGGGGTCCAGGCCCGGCTCGCCCTGCGGAGCCAAGAGGAAGTACAGCTTGAACGGCTTCCCGTCGCCGCGCTCCTCGCCCCGCTCCTCGCCCCGCTCCTCGCCCCACCTTAGCCTGATGGAGGACAGCTGGCTGCCTAACACCAACCAGTACACCAACTCCGCCATCTTGGCCGCCATCAACGCCCTCTCCACCGATGGCATGGCCGACCTCGGCGACGGCGTCCCCATAAAGGCCCGGAGAACCAGCCTGGAGCTCAGCCCCACCATCAGCCTGAAGCAGGAGCCCAAGGGGGCGGAGCCGCACCAGGACGAACCCCCGGCCAGCCGCACGGCCCTGAAGAAGGAAGGCTACTTCCTGGACGTTCCTCAGAACCTGTTCAGCTGGACGAAGCCCAAGCAGTTCCTCAGGTAAGGCCGGCGTTCAACCAGCAACCTGGACAGGCTGGAGGGTCAGGAGACCAGAACATAGGTCCATCTCCTGGCCCGGTTCTGATCCTCTCCCTCCTGTTGCCCGGTTCCAGCCCGTCTCTGCCGGCGCTGGACTGGCAGCTGCCCAGCAGCTCCGGCGCCTACAGCCTGCAGATCCACGTCCAGCCCAAGTCGCACCACAGGGCGCATTACGAGACGGAGGGCAGCCGCGGCGCGGTGAAGGCGCTGGCAGGCGGACACCCGGTGGTCCAGGTCTGTATACCTCGGGTTTGTTTGTTCTGACAGCAGGTCCGGTTCGGTCTCTGCGCCCGTTGTGAGGCGGACCCGTCCACTCAGCCGCTTCCTGTCCAGACGACGGGTGACTCACAGTTTTCCATGACGTCTCCGAGCGGCGCAGACAGAAATGCAGCGGGCCGCTGGAGCTGAGTCACGCTCCGACCGCAGCAGGCTACAGTGGTCCGGCCCGGACGTGGTGCGGCTATAAACCCGTCCCCCCCCCCAGCGGATCCTCGGTTCTGGGTAAACTCAGGCTGGGAAAGTGAAGCAGTGGACTCTGAAAACAGCTTGCGACATTCCAAGCAGCCGTGCAGCTTCGCAAGCAGACGCTAATTAAACAGCTACAAGAAAATACGACTGTCAGAAATGAGCCTGAATGTCGGGAGCAAACAGGAAATACTATGAATACTACTGAAATATTTAAGTACTAGTCGTGCCTCAAGAAAACTGTTTTCTTTTAAACACCTGAAATTTGATGAGCAGAAAGAAGAAAATGATTGTTTCACGTCTGTTCACAACAACCTGCTCCTCACAACGTGGAGTCATGGTAACCCAGGGTTACCGTTGAGGTGAAGGAGTCTTTAGAGCCGCTGCAGCAAAAACATCCTGGTTTGAACCCTGCAGCTTCTCTCCTGCTGCAGCCCAGACACAATCAGGACATCTGGACACTTTACCTCAGTCTGAATGGGACAAGGCTGTCTCTCTCTGAATGCATCACTCATTCATTCATTCATTCATTCATTCATGGACAGACGGAAACCAGGTCTCATACTGATGCAGCAAACTGAGCTCAGACTTCCAGAACAGGAAACTCCGAGTCAATACAGTCCAGAACTGGACGGGTCCAGATGTGGACTGGTCCAGAACTGGATGGGTCCAGATGTGGACTGGTCCAGAACTGGATGGGTCCAGAACTGGATGGGTCCAGAAGTGGACAGTCCAGATGTGGACGGTTCTGTTCTACAGACTCAATCCAGAGGTTTTACTCGGCGCGTTTTCCTCTGTGAGCCTGGAAGCTGCAGCAGCTGAAACATCTGGAAACGAAGACGTTTCCCAGCAAGCGGCCGACGCTCGGCTCGTGTTCCTGAGAAGGTGCTAATGATTTAATGACGGGTTCCTGGCTCCCTCCGCTGTAGCCCCCAGCCACACAGACCACCCTTTGTTTAGGCCGCTTCCCGCCCGGCTGACATCATGGTGTTCTGCGGAGGCGGCGGCAGCTAACCGCAGCGCTGACTCAGAGCTGCTCCTGTGGTGGGCTCGGGGGGGCCGCAGCCCGAGGCTGACCGTAGCTGCTCACGTCTCTGAAGCTTTAGTTCTGTTTGACGTGGGGTTATGCAGAGGACTCAGGAGGCGTTACTGTCCTACCGCAGAATATGGAGGAACGAAACATCCAACATCAAGCATTGAAATACCTTCAGACATGTGATATATTTCTCTGGAGTAGCGCCTGCTGGTGGCAGCATGATGGAACTGCTCCTTTGGTTCTGATTGGTTCTGTTTCAGACTAAACTTAATCATTTTCTGATTGAATCGTTGCAGTTTGGACAATTATTCCCTCTGGTTCTGCTGATGCATAACCATGGCAACAAGGTATTGCTCTTCCAACTGGGAGCAGCCGATTAGAGTCTCAAAGCCCAGATAACACCTAAACTTTAACCCCTAGCCTTGGATGCAGAGAGAGGAGGAAGTTCCAAACGTCTCTTCTGTCCATCTTGATCCCTGGTCAGATCTTTAACTCCGTGTTTCTGACAGAGCAGCAGCAAAAGCAAACAAGGTGGATCAGCAGAGCTGCTAACAGCTGCTGCTGTCATCCAGGACGTGTCACTATCATCTCTGCTAGCATGTTAGCATGTCAGCACAGGGTCTTCGGTCAGAGGCCTGTCCAGATTGGCTGTAACATTTACTCCCCTCCATTACAAATGTTTGAGAATTGCGTTAATATTTTGCTGATGTTGAAAAAACATAAATTCACAATCAGGGTGTTTCCATTACATAAGAAATTTAATTCAAATTTCATGTAAGTTTGTTGATGCAGTCAGTCATTAAAAACAAGCCGTGCCGTTATCCTCCTGCCATTTCCTGTCGTCTTCTTCATGTTTTCCACCAGCAGTAAAATCCATTTGCTGACCCGTCAGTCACTAATTTCAATAAATGTCGCCTAACCTCGGCACCGAAACCTATTTAAAAAATGTGGGTTTTTTTTTTAAATGTGCGTGTCTCTTTTAAGCGGATTTATTTTTCATCCATTTTGGACAATTGCTAGCGCTACTGAGTGCTAGCAGAGAGGTCCAACATTTCATGTCCCTTTGGAATAAATGAAGGATTTATGAATTGAATAAAAGTTTAAATCAAATAAGCTGAGAAGTCCTTTAGAATAATCAACGTTGATAATGCTAATGCTAGCATATTACCTCCTGTAGGCGGGTAAAACCAGCTGCTGGTTTCGAACCGTTCCTCTTGCTCCGACTGGACCTGCTCTGGAGGCGCTGCCGACCCGAACCAGGCGGCTTCGCTAAATAGCAGTTAGATCCCGAAGAAACGAGCATTCCTCGGCTTCAGCCGCCGCTCGCCTTCCATGTTTCGCTTCCGGTTCCACAGGAAGTCCTGGTTCCTAACCGCCACTCTTCTCTGGCCTTTCAGCTCCACGGCTACATGGAGAGCGAACCTCTGACCCTGCAGCTCTTCATCGGCACGGCGGACGACCGGCTGCTGAGGCCCCACGCCTTCTACCAGGTCCACCGCATCACGGGAAAGACGGTGTCCACGCCGAGCCACGAGGTCCTGCACAACAACACCAAGGTGCTGGAGATCCCGCTGCTGCCGGAGAATGACATGCGCGCCATGTGAGTAGAAACAGGAAGTAGAATTAAAAACCAGCAGCTAACAAGCGGTGTCAGTGTCAAATTCATTTATATAGCACTTTAAAAAGATGTAAAACTGCACCAAAGTGCTGTGCAGGAACGACAATAAGACAAATTGATAAAAACTGAGTATCAAAACACTACTTCAAATAAATGCCAAAGAATAAAAATGAGTTTTCAGAAGCGATTTAAAATGATCCAGGCTGTGGGCAGATCTAATCTGGAAAGGTAAATTGTTAAATAAAATAGGAGCTACTACAGAAAAAGCCCGATCTCCTTTTAGGTCGGGTGTGAGGAATAGCTGATTATTTGATCGGAGGGTTCTGGGCACAGACTGAAATTTTAAAAGATCCCGAAGATAAGGGGGGGACTAACCCATTTAAAACTTTATAAGTTAATAAAATAATCTTAAAATCTATTTGATAAAAAAGCTAAAGCTGCCTCCGGATGAGGAGTGGTTATGATGATGATGAGTGGGCTGATGAAGAGCATGGGTGATCATATCCAGCAAACAGCAGCTAATCTGCATCATGCTGTGAGACTGGAATGTGTTTGGACCTCTGTGTCCGGTCCAGTCCATTCTGGGTTTAACACCAAAAATCTCCATGATTTCTGTTTGAGCTGTTAGTGCTTCGTAAAGTGATCCAGGACAGAATTCTGACGGATCCGGATCATTGCCAACAGTTCAGTTTGGTTTGAATATGAAATCTGTTGGGAAAATCCGGCCTAACCCGTAACCGTAACTCGTAACTGTAACCCGTAATCGTAAAACGTAACCGTAACCCGTAATCGTAAAACGTAACCGTAACCCGTAACCTGTAACTGTAACCCGGTCTTCAGACTGTCGGTCTGTGTCTGCAGGACTCGGCTCTCGGCTTCCACACCTGATTGCTTCACCAGAGCTGCAGACAAGAATGTAGGGAGTGTTGAAATGTGTGCAAAAGTTGACATGAAGTAGCCTTTAAGGAATGCACCATGGAGCGGCTCCACAGCCAAAAAGCCAGAGACGGTTTGGAGCGCCTCGCAGAATGAAAGCAGTTTGATGGGAGCAGCAGAGTCAGACAGGAGGAAACTCCAGGAAAAACATTTCCAACTCCAAGCAGATCCAGGAAGGAAGATCTGTTGGTGCTGATGTGCGATCTCACGCCTCACTGAGTTTTTCTCCCGACAGAATCGACTGCGCGGGAATCCTGAAACTCCGTAACTCCGACATCGAGCTGAGGAAGGGCGAGACAGACATCGGCCGGAAGAACACACGTGTTCGGATGGTGTTCCGGGTTCACGTCACCCAGCCGGGCGGCAGGACCGTTTCTCTGCAGGTCGCATCCAACCCCATTGAGTGCTGTGAGTCACCATAGTTCTGTCCTCTGCAGTCAAATCGGTCCAGTTCAGTCCTAATCTGTCTACACCTGCCTAATCTAGTCTAATCTGGTCCAGACCAGTCCAGTCCTGGTTGAACCTCCTGAAGAACTCTCTGAACCTCCAGACTCAGATGAAAATGTGTGAAATGGGGAAATGGATCAGCCAAAGTAACACACCCCTTCCTGACACAGTGGGACACTGTGAATTTCACATTCTTGATCCCAACACTTCTGCAGTATTCGGAACTGGAAGTTTATCACAGGTGATACATGATGCTCTGTGGTTTCCTGTCTAGACTCGCGTCAGACAGGAAACAGGCAGGCAGCAGCTTGAACTGCTTTAGCGGTTAGCTAAAGCAGGCGAGGTTTCCCTCTCAGTGAGATTTTAGATTGTTGGTTCCAGAAAATCAGTGATGTGTTGGTAGAAGAACATGTTGAGCTGACTAAGGTTCATCTGGAATCTTAAGAGTAAAACTTAGTGAACTTTTCCTGGATTCCAGCTGACCTTCAGCACTGGGGGTTGAACTCTGTGATCCATCCATCCATTTTCTGAACACCCTTGTCCCTCAGTGGGGTCGGGAGGGGTGCTGGTGCCTATCTCCAGCTAACGTTCCGGGCGAGAGGCGGGGTACACCCTGGACAGGTCGCCAGTCTGTCGCAGTGAACTCTGTGATGTCAGCGGTGAAATGAGTTCGCTCCTCAGTTCCACTCTGAGCTGCAGAGGAACCCACAAGTTTCCAAACCTGGAGAACTTCATCATAAACAGAAGGGTTGAAGGAAACCCCCTGAACCTTAAACCAATGTCTGGAGGCTGGACTTTGACTGGGCCTCTTGGTGGGACCCAGTAAAGGTCCAGAGGGCTTTCCAGCAGAAACCAGTGAGGCAGAGTTAGCAGCACATGTAGAGCAGAGCCTGCAGCCGCTCAGTGGTCTGGATGCTCAGGCCCGCATGGGGAGTGGGTGTGGATGAGCCGTGACCGGGTTCCCGTCTCCCCCCGCAGCCCAGAGGTCGGCGCAGGAGCTGCCGCTGGTGGACAAGCAGAGCCTGGAGACGAGCCCGGCCCCCGGGGGGGGAACCATGGTGCTGGACGGACACAACTTCCAGCATGACTCCAAGGTGCTGTTTGTGGAAAAGGCTCAAGGTAAGGGGAAGGGCTGCAGCCCTTTGTGTGTGTGTGTGTGTGTGTGTGTGTGTGTGTGTGTGTGTGTGTGTGTGTGTGTGTGTCTCCCTTTGCTTTTGGAGAAACCCCAGGAATCCCTCCCCCGTCAAAATATCGTCTCTCTGCCAGAGCGCCACATGTGGAGCAAATTACTGTGGCGTATTTTTAACCCAGCAGAAGTTTCCATTGCCTGTTGAGAAGAGGAATGATCACAGCCGAGTGTGTGTAGGTGTGTGTGACGTGGATGTAGACCCTGCTGCTCGGTTTCAGCTCCCAGATGTTCAGCTGAGGTTTATAAACAGTAATTAGCCTGATTAGCTTCAGCAGTGCTTCATGGGTGGAGCTACAGTTGGGTGGAGGCAGAGCATCGTAGATCGGAATCTTGGTCACCATGGCGATGGAGAAACCGGCTCATTGTTTGCTTTGTGAGGACGGGAATTGAAAACTTCTGGCTGTGGAGCCGTCAGAGGGACTGGAGAGACACTGACCTCTTGACCTCCTTCACATCCTTCTTCATTTATCACTGAGACCTTCACAGCAAATATATGTGAAAAGAAGAGAGGTGATTTCAGAGGAAAAGACGGGATGGAGAATAATATTTTAGCAAAATAAAGACAAAAGCTTATGATCATTAACTTTAATATCCAAGTAAAAAACATTAAATCATGGAAAGAAAATTCAGCTGCTGGATCGGAGACGGATCTGGAAGATTCAAACATAAAGAGATCTCATAAAAATGTGATTTTATTAACAGGAAAGAATTTAGTTTTAGTTAAATACTTAAATCTACAAACTTGCTAATCTGGTAACATGCAACTAAAACCACAGAGAAAAAGATCAAATGATGAAGAAACTAAAACTAATGAAGGTAAAAACTGTAAAAATATCAAATGTTTTGCTGTTTAGCGACACTGAAAATATTAATAGAATCTGAGCGTTAGCTGAAATAGTTATGTTTTAGTTAGCCTTCAGCCACAGTTAGCTTAGCTGCCATTAGCTTGCTAGCTATGGGGTTCCATTTGTGTCAAAAATAAGTAGAAGTCATATGTGTAGATGTGTCGTTGCTATGTGTCGTTGGTCTATGTTGCATGTAGATTATGCATATGTGATGAACGTTGTTGGTCCATGCTGTTGGTTCATGTCGTTGGTCCGTGTTGCTATTGCCTGTTTTCTGCGCCATTAAAAAGTCCTGAAGTAGGTCATGTATGATCAAATTGTTTATTAGATATTACAAAAATGTTGGTCTTTCAATATCAGTGGTTTCAATAAAATTGTTTTCAAAATGTTAAGTTTTCTACCTCGTATTTTCTTTAGCCATTAGTCAGGGCAGCTAACGAGGTCAAGGGGTCCTGGCCCAGTGAAGGGGGCATTAAATTGCTTTTTAAATCTGTGATATATCTTCATTTTTAAGAAGAATTTTCACTGTTGGCATCTATTTGAACTTCTCTCTTTTATTTGCTTCAGCGCACCTCACAGTTTTAAACAAATTCTGCAGTTTTCGGCGTACTTCTAAATCTGCTCCTTAGTCGCATCTTTTTGGGCCTTCTACTGCTTCTAGTGGCGTGGGGTGGTAACACAACTAATGTAATTACATTACTAAATCAAAATGCCACAAAGTATTTATTATTAATTCCGGCATTAGGATAATAATAATAATGTGCAAATCACAAACTGGATTCCAAAAAAGTTTTACCCTTTTATTGAAACCACTGATATTGAAAGACCAACATTTTTGTAATATCTAATAAACAATTTGATCATACATGACCTACTTCAGGACTTTTTAATGGCGTAAAAAACAGGCAATAGCAACACGGACCAATGACGTTCATCACATATGCAGCGAACGCATATGCAACATAGACATATGCAACATCTACATATGCATCATCTACATGCAACATAGACCAACGACACATAGCAACGACACATCTGCACATATGACTTCTACTTATTTTTGATACAAATGGAACCCCATAACTAGCAGGATTTTTTGGGAGATTTTGAAAACTATGTAACTCAATGGCATGAAAACAAAATAAAATTCCAAGAGATAAGCTCAACCTTACCGAAGCATTGGTGATGAAAACGCTCCCCTGAATGAGGTTTTAGCCGACAAAACTCGATAGCTGCCTTTAGCTGCAGCCTGCTCCACTCAGGACAGTTCCGAAGTTTAATACAAAGACATCTTAAAACCGAAGCACCTAAATTTATCATGCTAAGCTATTATTCCTACCCAGCCACCACATACTGTGAATAAAGCTGCGATGGACGAGAAGAGCTTAAGCATTCTGCGCGCTACTTCTGAGTCAGGAGCCGTTGCTCAGCTAGCGGCTAGCGGTGCTAGCGGTGCTAGCGGTGCTAGCGGGTGCTAGCGGGGCTAGCGGGTGCTAGCGGGGCTAGCGGGTGCTAGCGGGGCTAGCGGCTAGCGGCATGTCAGGTTGACGGACAGCAGCAGCTGCTTCTCTGAGGTCATAGCTGGTGTTGTGTTAACACAACTGGAAGCTGCAGAGCTGCAGTCTGAACCCAGCGAAGAACAAATTGATCAGGAGGAAGAAAATGAAGGCAAGGATCTGGTTCTGACTGGGTCCGGTGTTCTGACTATCTGTCATACCTCGTGGTAAAACCAGGAGCTGAATGCAGTCCAGAGACCAGGACAGAAAGCTGCTGTTCTCTGACTGCCTGTTTCTCCTGGAGCAGATTGAACCCAGGTTACCCAGTTTTCTACATATTTTACTGCCCGTTTCTTTTTTTCTGTGTCTTTTTGCCGCCTGTTTCCGGCCCTGAGCGGCGTTGTTTCTCAGGCCGTTTCTGCAGCTCAGATGGTTAATAACCGCAGATTTTTCCGGATTGTTCTGGAATTTTCCGGCTCTGGATCTCTGGTTCATCGGCTCTGATCCAGGGAACCACCTTCAGCTGTGGTTCCCAGTCCGCTGTGCTGGACTGCCTCCAGTTCCCCCAGTTTAACGGCGGAGCCAGAAAACCGCTCCCAGTCCAGCCAGCTTGTAAACCAGTTTCCTCTGCCGCTCCCGCTGCGCCCAGGCCGCCTCCCGGCCTCCACAAGGATCAGACAATGCGCCTCAGTTATTTGTCATGTTTTGTGTAGAACTGGAATCAAGCGGCTCCTTGTGCTGCTGAGCTGCAGCTGGGTGGAGCTGCGGGCGGCATGCGACCAGAACCGCCCAGCAGCCGGTAAATATAAACACATGCGCTGTGGCTCAAAGAGCTGGTTGTCCTCCGCTGGCCGGACCGGGTCCAGCAGGCAGCGGCGCCGACTGCTGAGAGCTGCCAGAGCCTGTCGCCATGGCAACAATACGCAGAACCAGCATGTTGACCCTCAGTCACGTTCTGGTTGGTTCTGCAGAGAGTCCTCTTGTCCAGAGGAGCTTCTCCTGCAGAGAGCCACCTTTAGGTTCTTCCTCATCATATCAGGCAGGAGTATTTGACCATATCAGACTCTATAGGACTCAGTTAGCAGGTAAAAGGTCAAAGTCGTGACCCTGAAAGTCTCTACTCTCTAGAACAGCGGTGGGCAGCTCCAGGCCTGGAGGGTCTCCTGCAACTTTTAGCTGCATCTCAACTTCAACACACCTGAGTCAAATAATGAGGTCGTTAGCAGGACTCTGGAGAACCTGGCTGCACTGAGGAGGAGATTCAGCTGTTGGATTCAAGCGTGTTGGACCAGGGAGACGTCTAAGAGCTGCAGGACTCCGGCCCTCGAGGACCAGGATTGCCCAGCCCTGTACTAGAACCAAGATGGCTGCCAGACTGCGGTTAGAGCTGCACCAGGACGGAAGACAAGACGGCCGGGACAATGTTCTCCAAGATGGAGGAACGCAGCAGGTCATTAAAGGACTCGTGGACCGCTCTGTCTCTTTGACAAGACGTCAAGCCGCCATCTTGGAGAGGGCGACTGCTCCACTCAGCATTATGATTGTCAGGCGCAATGAAGGATCAGCACATTTAATCAATAACTCACTAAATACTGAACAGATTTTAACCCTTTTTTACTGGAAACCTCATTCAAACAGTTATTATAGCTACATGTACAAGAACATTTATTTATTCAAGTATTTTTTAATTGTATTGTCACATGATTCAGCATATTTAAATTTCTTAGAGGGGAAAACAGAAGAGGAATATAAAATTCTGATATATAGGACTCTGGAGAACCGAAGCAGAGCATCATATATATCAGGGGTCCCCAAACTTTTTCCTGCGACGGCCACATGACTGTTCCCTTTTCTGGTCAGGGGCCGGTCTTAGTTTTTCGAGAAAGAAACCTTAGAAAGGTTTTGTTGAGGGGGGGGGGGGGGAATTACTGCCGACGACATATTTGCGTTTGTAGATAGATTTTTACCCAGAATGCAAATGGAAAAAAACCGTGAGCGAAACGGTGACTGGTACTGACTAGAATATATTCCATTAAGGGAAACTAAGTTTCATATCTGCTCAAGAGCCCCCCTGGTGGTTGAAGAAAAATCCACATATATATGAAAAAAAAAAACCACTGAATGCTCTCTGGTATTGTTCAGGGGGCCGGACCAAATGAGGAGGCAGGCCAGATCTGGCCCGCGGGCCGTAGCTTGGGGACCCCTGATATATATGATGAGTAGTTTACAAAGCACACAGCCACTCATAATTTTTTTCTAAATTCTTTAGTAATATTAATACATATTTATGTAAATATACAAATATATCAGAGATGATTAAATAATGATGAATACGGAATAATATATATTGGGTTATGTATATTCTACCTTCAGAGTGGTTCAATAAATTCATCCTGTCAGTGAATCTGTTCCTCACTTCTTCATCAGCCTTCCTAGGGGGGCTGAACCTGGTGTTACCCCGAGCTCTACAGCTATATCAGCCGGTGGACATAAATACAGTATAGTAATATTAAGTAATCATAAAATATAAACGGTAATTTGTCCGTTTATATTTTATGTTTATTTTACAGAGGGGGGTGGAGGAGCTCCATGCGCAGGATGGGAGAGAGTGCACGCGCACTTTATGGGGTGTTTCCATCATAGACATAACATAAGGACAGACCCTCATGCACCGCTCTCTCCTATTGTCGCTGACGAGATTTAGGGCGGCCATCTTGGAGCGGTACTCCACTCCACTCAGCGTTATGTGTTTAGCAGCACAATGACTATCAGCGGATTTAATCGATCATAACAGCTTTTCTGTTACTGTAAACCATATTCAAACATCTATCAAAGCTACATTTATAAACAATTGTATTTTTTAAGTATGTTTTTAATACATAGTTCCATAGGCGTAGGAAGCGGGGGGGACGCCAATAATTTCACTGCAGTTGCCAATAATTTCACTGCAGTTGCGAAGAATTTTAAAATCTTCCACTCGCGTGCTTTTATTTTGAAGGCGCATAACAGCGCATTCAGCAGAGCGCTTCCTGCCCCTCCCCCCGGCTCAGAGTA